TAGGATCCTGTTTCTAGTTGAACTGATCTAGGATCCTGTTTCTAGTTGAACTGATCTAGGATCCTGTTTCTAGTTGAACTGATCTAGAATCCTGTTTCTAGTTGAACCGATCTAGAATCCTGTTTCTAGCCGGTCTAAGCAGCAGCAGCAGTTTTCAGCTCTAAAGGGAAAAAGGAACCAATCAGAGCAGCTTCCTCTTATTATTATTTTACACTTTGCACTTCGGAGCATCCATTTTGTTTATTATTCATGAATGTGAAGAAATAAAATTCTGTTAGAAAACTGCTTTCTGTTTAATTTCACCTTCCAACGATCTCCAGATATTTATTCTGGTTCACATAGATAAGTTATACACATTAAAGAAGGAATAAACTAATATAGAAATGAGTACACTGGGTTTTTATGTCTAAAAATCAGATGATTAAAAATAAAAAACTGAACCAGAATTAAAGCGTTATAAATCAATTAATGAGCGGATAAATTAGCTAAATTTGATTTATTACAGGAAAAAATTAAAAAGAAGTTTTTAGATGGTTGAAAATGTTTTCATTTAAATAAACATTTTTCACATTTTATTCATAAACCAGGAAATGAAGTCAATGATTTTAGAGTTAAACTCTTTATTTTCTATAAACCAGGAAATGAAATCAATGATTTTAGAGTTAAACTCTTTATTTTCTAATTTATTCTAGCAGAGTTCCTGTTAGCTTTGGTCCAGCAGGGGGCAGTATAACCTCTCCTTTAGGGGCTGAATGAAGGAGTTTTTGGCAGAAAGAAGCAGCAGTTCCTGTTTTACAGCATCTTCTCAGTCAGACCTCATAGTTCAGATGATGAATCAGATTAAAATCCGTCGCTTTAAGGAAGAATTTTCCAGAAGACGGTGACACACTTCCCCCCCCCAGGCCTCCCTCTAAGCCTCTTACTGTAATTCAGCTCCTGCTGAGGCGGCAGGACCGCTTCCCTTCATCCTTCCAGCTCCTCACAGCCTCCTCGGCGGCTTCCGGAGCTCCGGGTCCCGGTCCGTGCCTCCAGGATGCTGGGCGGAGACGTGGTGGCGGCGTGGGAGGTGGCTCTGAGTGACGGCGTCTACAGGATCGAGTTCGCTCACGGTACCACCACCGGGAAACGGGTGGTTTACGTCAACGGGACGGTGAGCTCTGGTTCTGGTTCATTCAGAGGCTCCTCTGATGGGTTTGGTCTGACAGAAAGGTCAGGAGGTCAGAGGGTCCGGACTGAGGCGGAAACATTTAAACTGGATTTAAACCACAGTGACAGGGAGTCCTGAGCGTCCCTCTATTTTTATTTGCATCTGGAACCAATAAGGTGATTTTCTGCTTAAAAATTAAAACATGTATAAATTATAGTTTTTAAGAATTCACTTGTGGGAAAATTAAGAAAATATTGTGAATCCTTCTGAAACCCTGAACATCCATTTGCATCCATTATAATAAACATTTTTGTTTTAAATCTTGTTTTTCTATTTAGGATTAATTAATCAACCCTTACTCTGCTCTTTAGAGGACATCCTGGTATTTCCAGTAATGAGTCATGTGACCAGTTAACGTGTTGGAAACCTTTTTTTCCTTCAAAATGACAGGCTGACCTTTAGCCGCATTTTATGAAAAAAATAAGTACAATTTTTTTTAACCAAAATAACTATATAATTTCTTGTTAATTAAAAACTCAAAAACAATATTTTGACTTCTTAAAAATGATTATCCCATTTAAACACGTTTATTGCAGCGGACAGTGAGTGGCTGCATGTTCCTGGTAGGCTATTATTCATGATGGTGGACCCAGATTCAGATCTGGACAGGAAGATGGTAAACCAGGAGAGGATGAAGTGAACCGGACCCGGCATTCGACCCGAGCCATGAGCTCCGGGGCTGGGCGGAGCGACCGAACCCGGCATGGTGCCCGGTGAGGCAGGCGCCAGTGTCCAGGCTACCGTCACCGGGTCGGGT